TGCCTGACCAAATCCTGAATTTGCCTGTTAGCACGGCTGACCAAGACCAGCGAGGACCAGGCATTGGATATATGCAACTCCTTGCAATGCCCAATCAAAGGTACACATATGTTTATTGGGATTATTGGGATTTAAATTAACTGTAACAGTCAGTAAACTATTGTTGAACAAGGCCTTTACTAATCCACTGTTACAGGTACTAGGATAGACCCAGTATGTATGCCTGATATTGATCTTGCATATTTTGTAAATACGAGATAAAAAACCGACCTTTAACAAACTCACAGTCTTTTCTCAAAGAAGCACCAAGCAGCGAAGTTGCGAGCATGCAAAAGAAGCAGCTTGCGTCGCGACTTCAAAGATTCCTCCACCTCTCAGGGTTGGACTCCTTAAGCTTGGCCCAAAAATATGTTCCCAGGTCTCAGGAAAATTAAGAACCAAGATGACAAAATCTGTTTTATTCGACCACACCTGAGCTGCCCTCTCTGCCAGCTGCAGGATCTCCTCAGCAGACCTTTTCCTGCTTGGCCGCGCGGACACAGCTTCTTGGTCAGCAATCGCGTGAGGAGCTTGTGTGGGTGGTATATGGTCCTTACCAACATGCACTCAGTTCACATAAATGATTCAAAGGCCAAAAAACTTTTCCACGAGAAACACAAAACTGTTTGGATAAACAAATTGCAATTCATGCTCCAAAGCATCCACCTCTTCTTGAGATGCTGGCTCAGCAGGTTTTTCTGGCTCCACCTCTACCTCATCTTGGGGACACGCAGTTAAGACACCCGCAATTCTGACCCCCTGAAAAGACAAAAGTGGGGGACAAACAAAAACGACTATTTTCAATTGAAGATTCACCTACTTCTTCTGCTTCTTCTTCCCCAGCTTCAGCCAGCTCCTCATGATCATCTGCCACCAGCTCAGGGTCGAGATGGGGCCCCTCCTCAAGGTTAACATGCAGGTTAACCTATACCATACATATATATATATATGTATCTATATAAAGCACCATCTCTATATATTATATACATTTAAAGCTTGAAAAAATATTACCCAAGCAGGCCAAGCACATCACTGTCCACTTCTGATGTGCTCACATAGTCAGCGCCCCGAGGCTGTGGATGAACGATCGGCGCGAGGATCACTGGCATCGCTTTGCTGCAAGGATGCAACACGCGCTGCATCTTCTTAGTCATGGGATGGCTTCCAGGCAAAACAAAGTTTTAAGACATATCTCCCATAGCGATACAAATATGTAGCACTAAATCCAACTCTATATAATAAGTAGATTCGAGAGGCATGAGATCTCCTTGAAACCCAAAAATTAATGACATCACCAAACAAGCATCCTTCAGCTCATTTTGAACTGTTTGCGGCACATCCCACGCAAAGTTCGGTCTATTGGGCGGCCGGGGGATCATGCTTGATACCAACCGCTGCAGACATATATACTATCAAGCTGTTATCCATTGTAATACTGCATGGTTGCAAGAATCCCCTTCAAAGACTCAGGGGTACCTTCGATCATGCACACATAATCACCATGCCACCCCAAGCTATCCCAGATCCAGACGCGGAATCTGCCTTGAAGAGAAGGGCATGACCAGCCCCACGCCCCAGCCCCGCGCCGGAGGAAAAAAAAGATATCAGCGTGCTCACCATGCATGATGCACATTGTACTAACAGTGCATTGAAAACCATAAGATCTGGTTGTTTGTCCATGGAAACACGATGTTCTTTGTCCACGCTCACCATGGTTGTGTGCGTTCATCAAATCCACGGACCCTCCAAAAATTCTGCTGCAGTGCGGCGAGCGGACGGCGAGTTTCAGGCAAACGTTTTTGTGTCCCTGGTTGTTCCGGGTTGATTCTAGTTTGACAACCATCCCTTCACAAATACAAACACATTAATTATAAGTTATATATCTATAGCAGGCCTTTGAATATATTATTTGCAGCCTCTCAACAACGGTTTTTAACATGTACAATATTTTTATTATCTTTCTATATGTTTTCCAAAAACCCATGAAAATATAACCAAATTATGATGTTTGTTTCTTCATGGAGCTCAGTATTTGTGCAGAAATATCACCCCAGGTTTGATTTTTCTCTGCGCAAGCAATGCCTGAAATATCACGGCATTTCACGTACATATGCTCTTTGTTGTTTTTCACGTACATACTGGGCAAATGTACCACGTACATCTAACAGATGTACATACCCATGTCTAGGCGTGGCGCGCAAGTGCAAGTAAGCAACGCAGACGCACAAGCCACACAAGCCGCGTGGGCAGATCGCGACAGCACGGGAATTACATTGCATACGTTATTGCAAGCAGGACTGGCATTTGCAGATGCAGGTATGCACAATGCGCGACGTCTAGCAGACCAGTGGCGTGGGTTTTACAACAGTTGCAATCAAGGAGAGGAGACAAAACTAAATGCAAAAGGCGACCACGTCATCCCCTCCACCTGTCAGTCCTCCCATGGCACAGGTCCCCGACCTATGAGGCGCATTCGGCAAAAGGGTCCTCTGCCAATGGCCCCTACGAACCCATCGACTGTGATCAGCGACCTCTCTACCGAAAACAAGGTGGAGGATGAAACAGTCGTTGCGGACGTTTTTCCACTGAAAGTACAGCAGCCCGACGCTGGCAATGAAGACCCACGTGTGCTGCGCGACCGCGACCTTCGAACGACAGCTGGACTTCTCAGAGCTAACCCAACCCTACCCGCTAGTATCACTGCGGCCCAAGCGCAAAGGAGCCTGGCTCCGAACGCCGAGCGTCTCCAACGGCCAGTATGGCAGAACCAAGGATTTGGCGCGCCAGAGCCCCGACCCCACAGTCTGCACAACTCCGACCACAGTCTCGCACAGAGCCCAGAGCCCACAGTCTAGCAATTGCGAGGTTTTGGAGCGTCTCCGACGGCCAGCGGACAGAGCCCAGGGCCCACAGTCTAGCAAGTGCGAGGTTTTGGAGCGTCTCCAACGGCCAGTCTCACAGAACCATTGGCAAGGTTCGAGAGGTTTGAAGGGTTTGAGGGGTTTGAAGCGGCCAGTATGGCAGAAAAGACTTTCTTTCCTTTCTTGCGCACATCCTGGCCCCAAACACCTGCCGCCGCCACGGCTTTTCCCCATCTAATTCTGTTCCAAAACGAACCTCTCATGGTCGCACTTTCGATGCCAAACGCCCCCTCTGAATCCCTATAACAAAAGACTTTTCTTCCCTTTCTTGCCCAGGGCCCACAGTCTAGCAAGTGCGAGGTTTTGGAGCGTCTCCAACGGCCAGTCCGGCAGAACCATTGGCATGCAAAGTTCGAGGGGTTTGAAGCGGCCAGTATGGCAGAACCATTGGCCAGGTTCGAGGGGTTTGAAGGGTTGAGTGGTTTGAGGGGTTTGAAGGGTTTGAGGGGTTTGAGGGGTTTCGCTGCCAAACGCTCCCTCTGAATCCCTAGAAAAAAAACTTTTCTTTCATTTTCTTTCATTTCTTGTGCAAATTCTGGCTCCGAACACCGAGCGTCTCCAACGGCCAGTATGGCAGAACCAAGGATTTGGCGCGCCAGAGCCCCGACCCCACAGTCTGCACAACTCCGCCCACAGTCTCGCACAGAGCCCAGAGCCCACAGTCTAGCAAGTGCGAGGTTTTGGAGCGTCTCCAACGGCCAGCGCACAGAGCCCAGGGCCCACAGTCTAGCAAGTGCGAGGTTTTGGAGCGTCTCCAACGGCCAGTCCGGCAGAACCATTTGGCAAAGTTCGAAGGGTTTGAAGCGGCCAGTATGGCAGAACCATTGGCCAGGTTCGAGGGGTTTGAAGGGTTGAGTGGTTTAAAAGGGTTTGAAGGGTTTGAGGGGTTTGAGGGGTTTTAGGGGTTTGAGGGGTTTCGATGCCAAACGCTCCCTCTGAATCCCTAGAAAAAAACTTGTCTTTCATTTTCTTTCATTTCTTGTGCAAATTCTGGTATGGCAGAACCAAGGATTTGGCGCGCCAGAGCCCCGACCCCACAGTCTGCACAACTCCGCCCACAGTCTCGCACAGAGCCCAGAGCCCACAGTCTAGCAAGTGAGCGTCTCCGACGGCCAGCGCACAGAGCCCAGGGCCCACAGTCTAGCAAGTGCGAGGTTTTGGAGCGTCTCCAACGGCCAGTCTGGCAGAACCATTGGCAAGGTTCGAGAGGTTTGAGAGGTTTGAGGGGTTTGAAGCGGCCAGTATGGCAGAAAAAACTTTTCTTTCCTTTCTTGCGCACATCCTGGCCCCGAACACCTGCTGCCGCCACGGCTTTTCCCCATCTAATTCTGGTCCAAAACGAGCCTCTCATGGTCGCACTTTCGATGCCAAACGCCCCATGAGCCCCCAAACAGCTACCATGAGCCCCCAAGCAGCTACCCGTAATCCCTGGCGCGCTCCCCCTTGCAACGGCGGGGTCGGCGGATAGAACGCTACTAGAAGCTCCTGGCATCGCTACTAGGAGCAAAGACGCTACTAGGGGCTCCTGGCCTTACTACTAGTAACAAGAAGCTATTGGGAGCAAAGTTGTTCGATTGCCTCAGGTATTTGGTGTCGCTTCATTGGAGCCTAACTCAGTTTACACCAGCAGGTGCCACGCATGTGAATTGCCACCGCTTGAACCGCTAAGGGTCAAGTCTTGAGAGCATGTGAGAAACATTCGCTCATGTCAAAGAAGACTGCTGACTTGTGACCAATTCCACCACTCAGTTTCCCTAAAAATCTATGAACCAAATCATTAGTGCGAGCGCTTCTTCAAGGAAGCTCGCCCTCAGGCGGGGAGCTTCCTTGAAGAAGCGTGAGCTATCCTGCGTCCATTTGCGTCCAGTAGCTAGGAGCTTCCTATTGCTAGTTGCGAACTTCTCCCTTACTTAAGTATGTAGGCGCCTACTTAATTAAATAAGGGCGGGCGAAACATGGAATAGAACCAATTACAGTATCATTCTATTTCCCGTCCAATTCATCCATTTTTCTAAACGGCGCTTGCTGTTGTCTGCAGGCATGGATGTCACGCCTACAAACGAAGTGGAGCGTGGCTTCACCATTGGTGTTGTGGTTTTTGCACTTGCAGCCTGGCAATTGAAGGATGTCGAACACTCTGTGGATGCAACTGGTGTAGAATCCCTACTATCTCTTTTCCCACATCTTCACACTTCTCCTTGTTACAGTCTCTTTCTTGCAAGTACCATGTTGCCCAGGTGGGTTTTGCGTACGTTGTGGGCAGCATCACTGCCAGCTTAGCACAGCTCAGAACCATGTCTGAGGAGGCTGAACTTCGCCAGCAGCAGTCGAGCGAGCTGTCCATATTGGGCATTTTGATACCTTTGAAGCACAGAACATCATTGACCAATCAGAGAAACCACTTCGAAACCTTGGTAACTAATTCAAATTAGCAAGATTCCCAATAATCTGCATTGAGAGTTTCGATTGCAACAGCCGTTCATTAGATTACATATTCAAAAGCGTTTGGCTGCCGGGATAACATCACTGGACCGTGTTAAAGAAACCTCTTTCGCCTGTGCCCATACTACCACATCCTTTACTTGAGTTGATGTGAAGTACCACTTGTTTTCGATGAAGGCAAGTGGAGTACTGAGTACTTTTTCAAACAGGATGGACATGTGCAGACGCGGCAGGCATCCAAAGACTTTTGGCAGATGCGACGTTTCCTAAACCAGAACTCTGTGGACCATAACCTGGCAGCCAGGATCCAGCGCTTCTCGGCAAAAAGATACAGCTGAAAGCAATGAATGGCATTGCCCAAGGTGTAGAATCCACCATTTGACCTGAGGCTTTGTGGAATATGCTTACAGTCGCCAGCAGAAGACCATGTCCATCAATCAGGTAAAAGTTCTTTCTTTGCTCTCCAAGCAATTGAACCCTGGCGAGGGACGAGAAGGCCAATCGACATGCTACCTGCAAGTTGCAGCTTGCAAACATGTTGACATATGTCCTCTTGAAGCTTCAGTCTAAGGTCGCGTCACAATAGTTCACAGGAACAAATATATATCCATCAGACATCCATTTGCTGAACATCAGTTCTGAGGATGGAAGAGTTGCAGTGTGCTATCAATTTGCCCCATATGCAGCTGGAGCTGCACCAGGGGATCTTGTATAGATAGTATAGTTGCAAACCATCAAGGACAAGTACCTGGCTGTTGCTTGCTCTTCTTTGTTTGTGCCAAGGAAAGTGCATCCACTGTTCATGTTCTTGAATGAGCTGCTCGAATGCAAGCAATATCAAAAGATAGCAATTTGATCCACAGATGAGTTATTAGTTATTTCCGTTGGCTGGCAAAGTTTCGACTTGCTGTATTACTGTAGCACAAAGATACTAGAGCAGTACAAGTTTCAATTCTATAGTTAGTATAACAAGAGAGCAACATATCAATCATAAACGATAAATGTAGGGCGTAGTGGAATAACGACCCATAAAGCTAAAAACAAGGAAAGTCATAGGGACGCCACTGATCACAAATCACTACGTATATAAGGATTTCCCGTTTCTTCTTATTGTAAGACATCAATAATTCTGTATACACAGAAGAACCTCTTCAGAGATCCTGAATGCGTGATTTATCCCGACTTGAATGGCAAGAACCCAGAAGTAGTTCTGACCCTTGACACATTTTTTCCAGGGACACCGAGACCCATACAATCCCGGAAGATACCAAAGGACATTCTCAAAGGAAAAGAAACCCTATGTACTACAACTAGCATCAATGTAAAAACTCAGGCGTTTTTTGCTCGAATGAAGTTCCACATTTTTCACAAATGATAAGGTTCTCATTCATCACCATGAACCGATGTGCGAAGGACTGTTTGGGTGTCGGAGAGACGCGAATGAATGGTCTAGTCTGCCTGGATGCAATCATGCCAAATGTATTGAGAAGACTCGACCTGATGCTCCAGGAGTCTATCTCACACATGGAGATGGCCCAAGGAGATACTCTCTTTTTGCCTGAGCAGCATGCCAACTGTACCCCGGCTTAAAAGAAGTGTCTTGAGTGATTGTGATCCAAGAGTCCAGTTCAGAATAGTGAAGACGGTTCACCTGCGGAACACTTTCCGTTTGCAGTGAAAGTCAATCAGGCATGTACTTCGTGGTGGGGGCCCCAGTGCCAATTTCCCTCTCAGATGATATTCTGCTTTAGACTCGACCTCACAACGGTGATCACATCTCATCCAAGTCTACCTAAACTGCTGGGACTAGTTTCCGAATCCATGGCCACCCTAGTTTCCAAATCCGCGGTTCTAGTTTCCGAATCCGCCGTTGACCTAAACTGCTGACCTGCTGCGCTCAGAGCGTCCTGTTCTGTTCTTTGTTTTTTCCCCTAGATATCAGCCTCAAGCCAACTGATGCATGCCAGTTTTCATTCGCTTAGTCCTTCGGACGTTTGGAGTACATTCGGATGATCGACAACAGCGGCCATGAGTACAAGGCCAGAACTCAAGCCGAGAGAACCTATTTCCGGTCTTTATGTGCTTTTATAAAGGCTCCTAGATTCTCAGAGGGCATGCAAATCTTGCAGGAGTTTGTCGACAAGGGTGAGGACTGGCTAGCTGAGCCAGCGCTATGGACTGAAGCATGGTACGCCCAAGCTGGGCCAATTGAATTGCTTGCGAAGCGTACGTGTAATCCTTTAGGCCTAGCAGATTATGAATCATTACTATATAATTGCTTATACACCGAGACCTCGTCCGTGACCTTCATCGATTCTGCCGTTTCAGCGTTGCCAGGTATCATGTGGGCGAGGCCAAGGCCTACACAGACTGTGAGGTCCTTTTGGTTGATCCAAAGGCGCGTTTGCATTCCCTTTGAAATATATATATATATGATATGTAAATATACACATGATTTGTACCTTCTGGTCTGGTCTAATTTATTCTTAGCTTCGTCAATTCCGCCATTGGGTCAATTCTTCTTTGCTGTGCTGACATCGCCAATGTGTTATCTCGCCTCACCCTTTTCAGGCCTTCGAGGAGATTCTCAACGTGGTAGCTCAGCAGTGAAATGTTCTGTCTACTGCTCATGCACCCAAAGTCACGATGGAACAAAACAACACACATACTTTTGGTGATCTTGTGGCTTGAGCCCGATTGGTTTCGGCATGTCCGGATTGCATGATCGTTCCACCAGGGAAAAAGGGTTTCTGAGCAGGTGAGCTCCACTAGTCACTGGTGGTTGCAAACCGACTAGTCCGCAGTGATAGCGGAGCCCCAATACGGGGCAGGGCACACGCAAAGCAGCACCGCAGGGAGGACCTGAGCCATTGCGGCCAGCCTGCGGAATCGCCTGCGCTGGAGGACTTCGCCTTCGACGAGATGAACGTGCAGCCTGCGTGGACTACATCGCCTTCGACCAGATCCTGGACGACCTCTTGGTCAAGATCGCCTTGGAGAGTTTTTGGTGCAAGTTTTGAGTGCTATGTCATCCTCTTCGAACGATGACCGTGGGCATGGCCATGCCGGTGGCTGGTCGGAGAGTGGCTTTGACTCTTCTATCCCAGTTTGGGGTGACAGGGCCCGAACGGTGAAGGTGGCTGACCTCCGTCGACTTGGAGAAGACAAAGAACTTCAACTTGGCTGAGGAGGTTGACAACCCCGACATGAGAAGTTAGTGCTGAGCCCGGCGGTCTATGACGCCGGGATTCAAAAGATCCTGGATGCTTGGGACTCCATGGTGGGTTGCACGGTGTCTGACCAGAAGGGAGAGCTTCGAGAGCGTTACTACATGAGCATGAAGAGAGGACCTGTGGAGTCAGGGGTGAACTTTGCACTCCGCTGAAAGCCGAGAACATCACCCTGGACGATGCAGAGGTGGCTTAGTTCTTCAAGCAAAAGCTCAACCTGACGGAGATGCAGAAACAGAAACAGATGCTGATGTGGAGCGAGAGTCGGTGAGGCTCTTCAAGCAGATCCACAGTGGGCAACCCACTTGCCCCTTCAAGCATTGCCAGGAAGCCTTGGTGGGCTACAATGACAAGGTCATGGAGGACGACTACAGCTGTGGTGCCGAGGCTCTACAGCGTCTTCTTTGGCTTCCAGCTCAACTTCAACGTCTACGTTGTCTTTGTGGAGGTCGCATGCCTGGGTGCGTCCGCTGTGAATGTGTTGGAGCAGGAGATGGAAGCTCACTGAGGACCAGGAGGTTCAGGAGGTGGTCCCTGATGAGGCCGAGACTGGAGCTGAAGGTGAACCGCCTTTGGCCTTGCAGGAGGAGATTGAGGTCATTGCGGCAGAGCTCAAAGCTGCTGCGCAAGAAGGATGAAGCGGAGAAGATCTTGACGCCTTGGAAGAGCAGTTGGACGGAGCAGTAGAAACACTGGTCACCTTGAGGGAGGCCAGGAGTCAGCTTGCAGCAACGAGGAAAGCTTGAGCGAAGAGGATAGATCCAAATTCCGAGAAGCAGCCAAGGAGCAGTGGGGCAAATGGATCGAAAATATACCCTCCATAGGATCTAGAATGGGAGACCCTCGAGATAGATTGGCTGGGGTCTAAGATGGGTCCCATTACCATTGTAGTCCTTTTTCAGTGGAGCATTGTAGGGCGTAGCTAAAGAGATTGTGTTGTTATTTCTTGATTTTTTAATATTACTTTTTGGTTACTTTTTGGTAGAAACGAGTCGACGCTCTTTTTGGCCGGCTTTTTGCCCTTAACGCTTGTCAAAAAGACATGCGAGAGACGCAGACTGGCCTGTCGAAGAAAAAAGGCAATACACCAATGCAGCTCGAAGACGCTGCGAGTATCATGGAGCATCCTGGGAGTCAGAATTACATGAACTTGTGTAACAGATCATAACAAGAAGATTCACATTTTTTATCAGCTCGACAGGACGTCATGCATGACGGGGTCTAGATTGGTTTTCCCTTAGCGGTAGAACATGATTTCAGACCCACTCCAGAATTCCCCGGTCTAAGGGTATAGGACTTAAGCGCGATCGGCCGCAAGGCCTAGTGAATAAGATGTTAGACCCCACGTGTTGGGGTCTACAATGCAACCACCGAGGGTCCAACCAAATAGTTGAGGGTGTTGGAAAATGGAACATTTGAGCTTGGATGAAAGTCGCGCCATGCTGAAAGATCTAGAACGTCGAGGAGAGCTGCTGGCCCCAAGCTTTGTGCTCACGGACAAAAAATCGGCTCATGGCGCTCAAGGCGTCCGCCAGAATAGTGGTGCCAGATTTGGGAGGCCAGCTGCGACGAGATGCTCCAAAGGGCAGCCCGACAGGCCCAACATCGGCGTAGCTGATGCTCCTAGAGAGCGGTGGCTTGGCTTGGACTTGGACAGAGAGATGAGGGGGGAGCCATGGTTGGACGAGATCAACCCTGGACGGAGTCCTCAAGAAGCCGGAGGACACGCCAAGACCAAGCACTATGACCTGCAGAATGACAAGGAGCTCTGCGGCGTGGTGGTTGGACACATGGATGACTTGGTGTTCGCTGGAGACGCGCAGGCCTTGAAGAGCCTGGAAGAGCTGGGAAATTCTTGTGCTTCGGTAGAAGGTCTATTTGGTGCAGCAAGAAGATCGAGACAGACCCCAACAGATCCCAACAGCAGGGACATTATGATTTCAATGAAGACCTATCGCCACCAGCTCACGCCCTCGCCGGGGCCAAGAAGGACTGCCGCCTCAGGAGCCTGTGAGGATGGCTCCTGCATTCGCAATCCACTGCGTCATCATGATAGCGGACTCTGGCACGGGCTGCGCAGAGCTGACTCGAGGGTTCCTAGCCGAGGCAAGGGGCATCGACATCAGGGGCAAGGATGCCTACGCCCAGATCACCCGAGTGCCTCTAGTTGGATCGCTGATGTGTATGATCGCATCGCTCAAGATATTGGATTTGGCGCGCAGAAGTCGCTGATGTTCACAGTGGCCAATCTCAGACAACAGCTTCGACGACCTCAGACCACTTTTCGATGGACAGCCACATCGAAAATGTTCGTCAACAGTGGTGCAGGTGCTGGACGCCACGCACCTTGGGGCGACCTGGAGCATCGAGTCAAGTACAGCCCTGACTTTGTGTGCCAGACGGCCAAGAAGAAGCTGGACCAGATCCCTGACAGGAAGGAGGATGAGCTTCCCACCTGAGGGAGTTTGGACGGCGTCGGAGTACATGTCTGAGCGTGCGCAGCCCGAGCCCACGATTTTCGATCCTCCTTTGAGAACTGTGGTGGCTGAATTCAAAGATGCCAAGGGCTTGCCAATCTGGCGGATCCTTGAAGAGCCGGTGGACTTGCGTGATTTGAGCAATCACCAGAAGAGGCTGGCTCAAAGAGCTTTTCGGCTGGTCTCCTTCTTCCAGAACAAATCCGGGATGAAACCAACAGAAAACATGAAGGAATGTGAACTTGTGGATCGCATGATCGTTCCACCCTGCTGCCATTTCATGCTGAACAGCGCTTGAGCTTCATGGCCAAGGGAAAGAGGGTTTCCAGGCAGGTGAGCTCCACTGGTGGTTGCAAACCTCCTATATTCCGCATTTTTGATATGGGAGAGCCGCAAGCAACAAACTTGACACAGAGTGCGTAAGCCATGCGAAGACGGCGCACGGGTTTTAGTAGTAGTTTCCAATGCAACCTCCTTGGCCTGTGTAACATGGGCACTTCCCGCTCTGAAGCGCACACGCAGCATTTTGCCTGCGTTGTTGAGACTTGAAGGGCTTTGCTTTTGCCATCAGGTTAGGCCAGTTGCCAGCATCGTGGCACAATACTGCAGGCATGCGGAAATCCAAACTTTTTTCCCGCCCCGGCCACCAAAGTTTTTTTTACGAACACATGGACAGCCGTTTGATTCATTCTGTGACGGTCAGCTTGTTTTCATTTGGCAAGTGAGCACTTAAATCGTAGACGGAAACTTTGCGAATTTGTTTGGTTGCGGAAGCGAGCTTGACTAGAGGAACAACTAGCTAAGTGTATGACACCGTGGCTCTCCTCAGTTTGGCAGAATCCTGACTAGTAAAAATATTTTCGATTAATTTGCGGGATACACGTTTTTGTTGTATGACTGTGCTGTTTGCTTCAACACTTTTGAGACGTCTTTATCAAGGAAGGAACCATTGTAGTGGAAACTGTCCACGTTTACTCGTGTCCGGACAGCGTGAAGGCGCTTTATGGCCTGGCTTCAAACTTTGGAATCAGAGGAAGGCATGCTGACGGATGTCATCCAAGGCAAGCTGGAATTTTATGTCTAGTCATGATTCTGGCATTATTATGCAACAATTTGTTGTCAGCTCTGCAACAACTTGTTGTGTAGTCATGATTGAAGCAAACCTTCAGGTGACCTCGTGTCGAAAACTATCCAGAGTTTCTTGCCTATGTGGTGCCATGCCTGCAGAATGATGTATAGAGTTGCTTCTTTGAGATACTGTACTTTGACATCAAAAGGTTTTTGACAAGGATGGTCGAGAAGCAAGATGATAGCATTGGGAAGCTGGAGAGCAGCGGTGATTTGTTGTCGGGCCGCTGGAACTTGAGAGTTGCTCTGCACAAATGCTTGGCGACGCCGTCAGCCTTCGGCTTTTCTTGTACTTTGTTCTTTTGATTCATTTTGGACAATCACCAAGCGCAATTAGACTTGTTGCTAAGGCTCGCTTGACGCAGACAATGAGACATATTAGCCAATGAGATCCTTTGAACACTTTGGAATTGTGAGGGACGTTTCCCAGCCATGATTTGTGATGGTGTGCGTGTCTCTTTCATGACCTCGAATGTCTGAAAGCTTCGACGAAGTGCCTCGAACTTTTGAGATCTTCGATCTGCAGAGCAGTTTCAACTTCGAAAACCTTCAAGTTGTTGGGGGTATGAAGCCACAAAATGGCGGTGCTCTCGCCTGGGCTCTCCAAGCTAATAGGCCGAGTGGGCCAATCTGTATGTTTCCAGAGCATTTTACGGAGTGAGTTAGCAATTTGCTTTGAACCTTGTTTAGCAACAGTTCAGTTCACTGCAGAGCCCAATCGGCTTGATCTGAGCTCCGAAAGGGGTTGCACTATGCCGTCAAAGCAGACTGGAGCTGTGCCGGAAAGCTGCAGTGCTCTTGGCAAGAGCATCCAAGGTCAAGAATCCTTCTGGACCAAGAGATTTGGGGTGCTAAAGCTCTATGGTGTTGTTTCTTGTGGTCTTTTTCAGTGTTTTGTTTTTGTTCTGATGAGCAGCTCTCGGTGGCGTCTGAATCAGAGGCGCTCACTGTCGTATGACAGTCGGTGCTGAGATGTGCACGAAGAACATAGGGAGAAGCGCAGAGGTCCTGTTCTTGCCCCGAATAGTCAGACTGAAGACTTATTTTTGACTGAAACTCACTTGTCTGTGAGGTGCACGCGAAGAATATATACACAGATTTCATCATATTCATATTCCTTGTCAGCAGGCCTTCTGGGCCTGTTACTGTTACACTCTAGTTCCAGAATCTGACGTCCAGTTTGCTTCTGCGCCTTGCAACGTTTCGAGCCAAAATGGTCCAAGCGAAGGCTTGGAGACATTTCGAGACCAGTTTCACTGGTGAGGTCAAGCGACTTGAAGCAAGGTACTCCTGTGCGACCTCTAGGACAGGGGAAGACTCGGTAGAATTCCAACTATATATAATCTGCCTACATTGCTCCTTCAAGAGCTTGGCCACCTTGAAGTGGAGAAAGATCCGAAGGATTGACAGTCATGCTGAACCCAATCTTGGGCAGTATCGCCGCCAAAAGGACTTTGATTCGTTTGGCTTCTCAACAGTTGACGTCTCAGACTCTTTTATGGGCACCATGACTACCTGAAGACATTGTTCCTCAGATTTGGTTCAACATGCATTGATAGGCCTTTCCAACTTATGTCACTTCAAGCATCAAAGTCAAGCCATGCACTGTAGTTTATATTCAGCAGACTACATATCCTCTTAAGTTTTGCCTTAAAGTGAGCACATTTGGCAATGAAGCTGCACACAGTTGGCTTTTGTGGTGTGGATGACACTGTGGATTTGCACCGAAGATGCACCTTAACACATTCCTTTGCATCGTGTGTGCCTGCCTTTTAATGCAGCATATAGTATAGACCGGACTCGCATGGGATGAAAATCCCACCGCTAGTCTTTGATTGAAATCATAGGGCTATAGGGAATCTCAATTTCACCGTTCACCAGTCATTTTTCTTCCAACAGATTGTCTCTCTAGTACTGCGCACATTTTGGGAGTTGCCTCTGACTTGTCGCATGTGCAGGCTCACAGAAAATTCAACGGTTTCAGATGTGCTCTCTTCTTGTGTGCTGCTCATAGGTGCTCTTTGCTGCTTTGGTTTCCAAAAAGACGCCCACGTAGAGAGGGTACAAGGTGACTCCGTTTGTTATTTCATCGGTCGTGTCTCCGAAGAAATCCTTCCAGATCGTGCTAGCTACTATATCTTGACAAGAGCTTGCGTGCGTAGCCGCCAGCTTCTTGCATAAAATGTTTGCACGGAGTTCGCTTGGCCACGAGTATTGGATTGGATAGCGACAGAAAGCCCAGAGAGAAAGACTACAAAATGCATTGGAACCATTTAACAGTTTATCTCCCCTGCTCCCTGTTGAGACGTTTCTGTTGCCTTGGTGAGTAAATCTAATGCCAAGACGTTCCAAATCTGTGCATGTGTTCCTGCATTCCCAGTGGGTTGTGTTTTGATTTTAGAGGGGACGCGGCCAGAATGTTTACGTACTCATCCACAGTCTACACACTTGGTGTGGGCACTGGCACATACGCAGGTAAGTTCTTACATAGGCACATACACATACGGAGACCTAGCTGCCAAGACGTGACAAGGCAGCAGCTCGTGAAGCTAAACGAAGACTTTGCTGGGTGGAGACTTGCTTGCAGGTGGCTGCACTGCAACATCGGCGCTCCAAATTCTTTCAGTTTTGGAAAACCAAACTTTATTTCAACACCCCCTTTCGAAGGCTTTATTTTGGAGCGTTTCACGCCTTAGCTCCATCTCGATCGAATCTCGTTCTTGGAAACCGTTTTTCTCTTGTGTAGCTGCAACATTTTCGAAATCTTTATCGACTGGGCCTGGGAACACAAATCCATTTCTGAGCAAGGCCTGTTTGTCCTGCTTGCACAAGGAATGGGAATAGCTAATCGTTCCGTTGGTGACGCGCCTGAGTCCAATCTGGGTTGTCTCTTGAATTGATTTCATCTTCCCTCCAAGGTCGTAGGAAATGCGTAGTGAAATGCCAAAGCTGAAAGACAAGAAAAGAGCAGGGAATCTGTCTTTTTCTTGACTCCGATCTTTTTCCAAGTCCAGGCAACTCAGCTTCAAATCGCTGTGAGCTGTTACCTCTCTGGAATCTTTTATCTTTGGAAGTTTAAAGTCGCTCTGCACCTATTTGCTATTTGGGGTAACAGTGGTGACAGCGGTGACAGCTCGCATTGGAAAAAGTCGGCTCCTCTGCCAGAGCCGCACTCACAATGTACTTGTAGTGGCAGAACTGGGTGCAGTAACAAGTGCATTGCTACTACTAATATGCATTACTACTAGTAACAAGAATCTACTAGTAACGCAATCAAAAGCTGGCTGTCATCGAATGCTGATAGGTCCCATTTGTATTGGTGGTAGTCTCTGGAATCCCCCCATCCAGTGACCCTCCATCCTGGACCAGATTGGTTTGAGAATAACCAGACACTATAAATGCATACAAATAAATACATTATATAATACATATTACAGCTGTGAGGTGGTAAACGACGTGCCTTGTGTGTCTGCCTTCACGCGTCCATCGATGCTGAGTATTGTTTACCTTCAAAGAAATATGTTGAACACAGGGTCCGACCCATCTAGTAACAAGGAAGCTACTACGGGCTCCTGGCATCGTTACTAGGAGCAAGGACGCTACTAGGGGCTCTCCTGGCATCGCTACTGGGAGCAAGGACGCTACTAGCCGCTCCTGGCATCGCTACTAGGTGCAAGGACGCTACTAGGGGCTCCTGGCATCGCTACTACGAGCAAGGACGCTACTAGGGGCTCCTAACATCGCTACTAGGAGCAAGGACGCTACTAGGGGCTCCTGGCATCGCTACTAGGAGCAAGGACGCTACTAGGGGCTCGGCATCGCTACTAGGAGCAAGGAGGGGCTCTCCTGGCATCGCTGCCAGGAGCAAGGACGCTACTAGCCGCTCCTGG